TCGGGATGGATTAAGATATGTGCAGCAATCACTTTCTGGAATTCAACGCTATGCTTTCAGGCTAAATGAAGAACCTCCATGCAATGCATTCCATTTGGCTCACTCCCCTCAAGGGGCTCTGCCTCAGAGAGGTCACGGGAAGGGCACCTTGAATCTGCTGCTCCCTCAGGTGGTCTTGAGTCTCCTCCTGGCTCTCATACTGTGATTAGTTAAAGGGGCCCTAACTGCTGTATCAAACCTCAAGATGTATGGTGCCTCAAAGATGATAGAACTTTATTTTTAACATGTTAAGCCCTAATCCGTGCTCCTGATTGTGAAGTAGCTCTCCTGACACAAGATTTGGGCCCTCGGGCCCCTCCCATCTTGCTGGCGTGGGCAGGCAGGGGTGATGCCCCTGGAGGGTGCGCACCGCTTTGTTTGGAAAGGCAGACAATGGGCACATATACTTCGCTGGCATTGCCTGCGCTGCAACTTCGTCACAGGCCACATCTGTGTACAAGGGAGGTTGGGAAGTAGAGATGAGTTTGTGCCTAGGAAGGAGAGAAAATAGATTTGGTAAATACCATCCTACCATGCTGAGTGTGCTTTTTGCTCTTTAAAGACAGATTTTTCTTTAACAAGAGCCCTTAAACAAAGCCGTTCCTTTATCTGGTATTCAACCAAGGAAAGACATTTGCTCCACTGCTGGAGAAAATCAGGCTGTGTTGAACTTCATCAGAAATCACACTGTTCCGTATTTTATGGGCAGTTTAAGGGACCTTCAAGGATAAGTTTGGTACCCAGGGACTGACAGAATCTGCTCCAGTGCGAGCTGGAATCCACTGTGTTTCTATCAGGGCCTGCTTTCCTGTCAGGGAGGCAGATCTTGTCTCCCTGACCATACAGCCTGTGCTGAGCCCCTCTTCATGCATACAGTTCAAAGAGCAGCCCCCTCTCCTACCTTTTAGTATCTCACAACTTTGTGAGCTGCACGTAGTCAGGATGAGCTAGACTGTGCTGCGGTGATAGCCCCACCCCCAAATCTCAGGGATGTAATACAGCAGGTATTTTCTTCTTGCTCCTGCTGCATGTTTCCTGTGGGTGAGCTGTTTCTGCTTCATGCCACTCTTCTCTCTGGGACCCAGGCTGATAGAGCAGCCCCTACATGGAATATTGCTGGTCACCAGGGAAAAGGGAGGTGAGAGGACGGTGATGGGACTTCCCCTGAATTTCATTGGTCAGAGCCTGATAAGTCATATGGCCACGCCTGAGAGCCATTAGAGATTCCTATGGAGACTCTGAGTCATCAATGGAAATGAGCCCAGACCTCAGGGGTGAGGTCTGAGATGGAGAAATGGGTTTTGAAGTCAGTGGCATAGAGGTGATCTAAAGCCGGGAGACTGGCCAAGAATGTCGCTGAGTAAGGGATCAGGGTCCAGGGTGACTCACAATTTAGACTGAGCAGAGGACATGGAGCTGGCAAGGATACTGAGGAGTGGCCAGTGGGGTGGAAAGAAAAGTGGAGAGGGTGGTGTCACGGGAACCCCGTGTGAAAGGGGTGGACGCTGTTGCGCGATGGCAGAGGCTGAACAAGGAGAACCTAACTACTGGGTCAGCAACGGGGACACCATTGGCGATGCTGCAGTTTCCGTGAAGCATGGGGTGGAGACAAAAGCTAATTGGAGTGGCTTGAGGAGGTAATGAGAGGTGAGGACTGGAGCTAAGGAATTTGGCTGTGAAGGAAAAATAAAGGAGGGGTGGCAGCTGGAGGGAATGTGTGGCCGAGGGAGAGTTTACCTGTTGGTTCTATAAGGGAGAGCGTGGAGCATGTTAGTGTGCTGGTGACAATGATCCAGGGGAGGAGGAATTGGGGCGGCAGAGAAAGGTGATGGATGCAGGAGTGGATGCAGGACTTGAGATGGGGGGGACCTAGAGCCCATGGGAGGAGGAGCGAGGCTCCTTGGGAATAGGAGGGGGGACAGAGAGAATGGATGCCTGTAGTTCGTTAGATTTGCTGGGGTGGGGCAGGCCTTCCTGCCCAATTTACTTCTGTTTTCTCAGAGGTGAGAGAACGCGGGCAAGGTGTGGAAGGTTGAGAGGAGAGGGTGTGGGAAGAGTTGTCCTGAAGGGGATCTAGCGCAAGCTCAAGAAGTATAGTCAGAGGGCATTAGGCCTCCTTGAAATTTGTTGCCACGAGTTTAAAATCAGATCAGTCAGCATGTGGCATGTTCCTCCTCCCGCAACACCCAGCCAGTCAGGGCGGGAGGGGAGAGGCGAGGGAGTTAAGGGAGGTTTTGAGTGAGTGAATTACAGGGACAAGGTCAAGGTCACCGAAGCCTTGAATTGGAGGAAGGTTGTTGGAAGGTGAGGGTGAAGCAGCAGCAGTTGAGGTTTCAGAGGTGGAGACCGCCGTGGGAGCTGGTGGCTAGGATGGGAAGGAATGTCCCCATCATGACCTTGCCTGCAGACACCCCCAGAGGCCCTCGGCAATAACAGTGCTAACATAACTACACCTGCCGGGTTCCAGCTGGAGAGCTTTAAATTAATTACCGCCCTCAGGGGAAGTTGGAGGAGAGTTGGGAGGAAGTGGAGGTGAAGGGGCTGACTCACCTGGCTGTTCCAGAACTCTGAGCCAGCACCAAGTGCTGTGGGCCAAACAGCCAGCCCCTGGCCTCAACAAGCTCAGACCCGAGTGGAGCCAAGAGCCACACAAGTGCAGCTCAACTGGAAAGGGACAGGGCTCATGGGGTCAGTCCCCAGTGGGGGGAAAAGGAGTCAAGACCCTCAAAAAAGCTGCAACCCTGCTCAGTAGGGGGACTGCTGGACCATTTCACAGACGAAGAGATCAGAGGCTGATCTGCCCCCTCTAGGCACACAGCCAGTAAACCCAAGCTTCCCTCCACCCCAGGATCTTTGTGCTTCCTCAGCAGAGACTGGGCAGGCCTGGCAACTACAGCGCTACAGGGCTGAAGGGATGGTTCACCTTGCAGTCCCCATTTGTGTGCCCAGATTGATGGCACAGGGACTGTTCTCCTAAATAAACGCTCCTCACTATTCGTGGGGGAGGGTGGGGAGGGGGTACCCTGCGTGCTCTTAAAGAACCGGTACTAAAGCCCAGGGAGGCGCTCCAGCTCCTACCGCCCCAGGCAGGATTCCCCTCCCCACCCGACATCCCCCTTCGAGGCAACACAAAGGACAGGTGCGGTGCGCGCAGGCCCGCCAGGTGAGGCGTGACCAGCAGGTGGCACCAAAGGGAGCCTCCCAAGGGCAGGGTGGATGTGCCTGCAGCCAGGGCATTAGGCTCCACAGCTCCCTGACCAAGCTGGGGTCCTGGAGGAATCAGCAGAGATGTTGCTAGTGCAGGCCCCACCCCCCCTGGAATCTCCCCCACCTGGAGTCTAGGGAAAGCTGGCTACCAGAGGGACAGTCTGGCAGATGAGTAAGACCTTGAGGCCGTCTGTCAGTGTGACCTTGGGTTAGTCTTCTCCCTGCCTCAGTTTCTTCTCCAGGTTACATATGGGAGTAGTCTCTGGTAACTATCTCAAGATTTCAGAGGTATCCTCTATCCCTCCCCCCAGCCTTCCCCTCCTCATTAAGTTTCCCTTTGACACAGGCTTGAGGCAACAGAAGAGGGTTTAAATGCCCAGAAGTGTAAGTTTTATTTGTCCACACTGTGCGGAGCTAAGGCACGATGGGTTTGCTTCCAACAACTTGAGGGACAAGAGCGGACTGGAGAAGCATGTGTTCTTCGGAGCCAGGCACGTGGGCCGCCTTTTTGGCTGGTGGCTGGGCCTCCGACCCCAGCCCCAGCAGACCCAAGGCTGTGCTGAAGAGGTTGAGAGGAGTGGAGCCGTCAGTGATGAGGGTCGATTTCAGGCCCAGGCTCTGAAGCAGTTTTACCTGGAGGGAGCAAGAAGAGGGCGAGAAGATAGTCAGGCCCTGGTCCCTTCTCTCGTCCCCCTGGCTGCCTCTCTAGGGTGGCTGCCACCCGCTCTGATCTGCCACTGCAGCTTCCATCCAAGCCGTCCTCATAGGATTAGTCAGTGATCAGTGAGGAGCATAAGTGGAGCCTGACAGGCTAGTCCTCCGGGTCCTAGCAGGCCTGAAAAGTCTTGCCCTCCCTGCAGCTACCTGCATTCTACCCTGTGCTCTTTAATGTTCCTTTCTGTTCCTTTAATGCAGCAAGTTTCATTCTCTATGTGTCTTTGCACTTGGACCCTCTCCTGGGAAGCTCTTGTCAACTCTGCATAGTGCTCAAGGATCCCCTCTTCAGAGTGACCTTCTTTAGGGCACCTAATTTGAAATGTCACCTCTCCTTTCACCGTATCACCCCACTTGACTTTCTTTGAAGCACTTGTCACACTGATGTCCCACCTGTTTATTGTCCCCCCAGAAGCTCCAGTTCACTGCTGAGTCTAGTACAGTGCCCAATGACACCGTGCTCAAATGACACAGGTCAGGACATGGATACAGGGTCAGTTCCACCACTCCCTAGCATCACTCTCTAGATGTATCTGCCTCCCCAACTCTGCCGTCTTGGTTCCAGGTATGGCCCCAAGACACACACACACGCCCCTGTCCTCTCCCACTCTCACCTGCAACTCTGGCCCTGCCACTGCAAGGTCCCTGATGGTGCTGGGGCCCAGGGCCTCGGTCATCTGCTGGAACTTCTTCACCTCCACCTCAGCCAGCTGCTGGGCCTTGCTCACCTCCAGCTCCAGCTGGGCCCGGGCATACTCCAGTTCTAGCTCTCGCACTTTCTGTACCCGCTTGAGCTCAGCCTCCTGAAAGGGAAAACCCAGCATCCTTTCAATCATGTGGTCCCAAGGACAGTCCAGCAAGTCACCTAGCCAGCAAGCCTGGGGAACTGAGGTGGAAGGGATGGAATTGTAAACTTATAGTCAATTAGGTGTGAATCCTGACTGTGTCACCTTTTAGACAGTGACCCATGGGAGCCCCTTAATCCAAGACCCAGTTCCCACATCTGTAAAATGCAATCATACCCACCTTCATGGGATTTCAAGCATTAAATAAGATCACGCATGTAAAACATACGCAATACCTGACACAAAGCTGTCCAATGTTTGAGCACGTATTACACGTAAGACTAGTGTAGTAATCATCTGTGTCTTCCAGGCAGGTATTAAGTGAACTGATAGAGGGCAAAGGACTTGGAAAACCACCAAGTATGTGAATAGAGCTGTACATTAGGGTGCTTGGTACCCCACTCGTCTTCAGGGGCTGCAGGGATTGGGCGTCTTCCAGACCCCAAGGCCACACCCTTCCAGGGGCATCCCCCCCACTCACCGTCTCAATGGCCAAGGCCTCTGCTTTCAGCTTGGCCTGCAGCACAGAGCCCTGTCCCTCGATGCGTGCCGCCTCTGCACGGGACTCGGCCTCTGCCTTGGCGGTCCCAGTGCTCTCCACAGCAGTGCTGGAGACATCCCACGGTCAGGAGGGACCCAGGGGAAAGCCCTGCCCTCCTCCAGCCTTGACTTATGCTACAGCAGCTCTCACAAACACATCCCTGGCTCCCCCACCAGCTGCTCTGCCAAGACCCTGGGTAGGCCACCTTTCCCTTTCATTTTTTTATTGATCTTTTTTGAGAGAGATGGAAACATCGATTTGTTGTTCCACTTATCGATGCATCATTGGTTGATTCTTGTATGTGCCCCGACTAGAGATCGAACCCACAACCTTGCATATGGGGACAGCACTAACCAACTGGGCTACCCTGCCAGGGCTTCCTTTAGTTATTGACCCACCTCAGAGCCTCCAGCTCCAAGAGTTCCTTGCGAGCTTTCTCGGCTTCTGACTGGTCCAAGATCTTCTGCCGCTCAAGCCGGCCTCGGGCCTCTTGTTCTAGTCTCTGAGCCTCGTGTCTGAATGGGAGAGAGGACAGAGAAGATGCTGGTGTGGGGCCAGAGCTGGGACAGGAGCTCCAAAGGCAGGGACCACCGATCTACCCTGGCCCATGGGAGGCACTCAACATGAAACGGAAGAGCGGCGTGAGCACTCGAGCCTGGCATGGTTCTAGGCTCAGGGGAATGCGGTCCTGACCAAGGGCCCTGCTTTCACACAACTTGCCTTCCGGGGGGAAAGAAACGAGTAAAGGAGGGTGGTTTCAGACAATGACAAATTCCCTGAAAAGGAGCGATGATAACGACTTGGCAAAGAGGGCACTGCTTCAGTTAGGGTAGAAAGCAAAGGGCTCTCCAAGGAGGTGACCTTTGGGCTAAGGCCCAGGAGGAGCCTGCCCTGAAGTCCCCAAGGGGGGAACCCTGGGCACAGGCAGCAGCCAGTGCAGGAGGCCTGAAGCCCAACTGTGCATCTGAGGAGCAGAGACCCCAGGGTGCCTGGGAGACAGCAGAAACGAGTTCGGGCTCTAGCACAGCAAGGTGAGAAGCCAGAGGGGCAGGGTGGCATCTGCTCACGCTTTAAGTGGGTCATGCTGTCTGCTGAGTGAGGATAACAGCAGACTGACCATCGGGGTGCCATGTCACGCAGGGCCCAGCACTGGGCTAGAGACGGAGACCCTGGAGAGGTCTGGCCCCACGGTGGGCACTGTGGGCAGCTGCCCTCACTCACTTGGCAGCTGCCTCCTGGGAGTTGGTGGTGATCTCGATGGCCAGCTGGACGCTGCACTGCAGGGCGTCCCGGGTCCTCTGGTCCACAGGTTCCACTGACTGCACATCCACGCTACTGACCACCAGTCCGTTTTGGGGGAAGATGGCCCGGTCCCGGGGCTGGAGCAGGGCCTCAGCTTTGGGCTCCTTGGTTCCCGGAGGCTCAAAGCCAAAGACAGCAGTGCGAATAATGCGGGCCGAGTTCTTATGGAAGTCGTCGAAGGTGACAGAGGCCACGGCGCCACGCACCCGGGATGCTATGGCCTTGCAGGCGTCTCCCACGAAGTCAGGCACAGAGAAGAGCTTAGCTGTCTCCTGGGGGTCCTTCCAGTCACTCAGCTCAAAGTGCCTGTGAGCAAAGGGAAGCATTTTCCTCCAGGAAACAACTTGCTCATCTTCAACTGGGACTCTGACACCCTCCCTCCGAGGCCGAGCAGGGTCTGAAGTCCCATCTCATTCTCTCAGTCACTCTATGAGGTGGGGAGGAGCATTATCCCCATTTTACAGACGAGAAAATAGAGGTCCAGAGAGATTATGTGATAGGCAGAATCATACAGTATATGTCAGGCCAGAAAGTTGAACCCAGACAGTGTGGCTTCCAGGGTCTACGCTCTTGGCTGTCATGCTCTAGCGCCCCAAAGATATCAATGCCTCATCTGCCTCTGTCACGGTCCTGGCCACTCAGCCAAGAGGTAAAGAACACCTTGGGAGTTGTCGAGCACTGCTCCTCAGTGTGACATCTTTTCTATCTCTAGTCACTGCCATCTGAGCTCTAACTCTGAACAGGGCATCGTTCTGATGCTCACTGCATCCTCTCATTAGCCTGTGAAATTGATGGTCATGTGTCATCCTCATTTTACATATGGGGAAACCGAGGAAAGTGCCAAGTCACTGGCTCAGATCCACAGCTAGCAGATGGCAGATGGGATGCAGACGCCGGCAGGTGGCCCCAGAGCAAGTGCTCCACCCACTCCCATCCCTAGCATCTGATAGATCTTCTGACAGCCTTACAGTTGTGTGTTTGGCTCAACACATGCTGGGACTTTGGCAGGGAAGTGTCCTCCTAACTTGTCCCCAAACTCCTGCTCCCAAGAGGTGAGCCCACACCCTCTGCCATTCCCCTGGGCATCAGGCTGGATTTGCGGGAACCCGCGCGTGTCCCTCTTGACCACAGCCCTGAGTCAGGCGCTCTGCCCTTATTCTCAGCCCAGCACAAGGAGGCACCCCTTGTCCTCGGGGTTCTCCTGGGGCTGCCCCCTCCCCCTTACCAGTTGTAGGCCAGCTGCAGCTGCAGCCGGGCGTGGTCTGCGGTCTCGATGGTGATGACATCTGTGAAGAAGTCGGGCCCCAGCAGCAGGCAGAGCGCGCGGCGGGCGTGGGGACGCTTGGGCCGGCCGGCCGAGAGGGACAGCACCGTGAACTGCTCCTCGGGACCCAGAGACACCAGCTCCGGCCCAAACACCACGCTGCAGAGGGAGCCGGGCGTCAGGCACCCGAGGGCCTCCCCTGCGCCCACCCGCAGCCCAGCCCGCGGCCGCTCACCGCGCTCTCTTCTCTCTGTAGTCGTACACCTGCACCGCAGCGTTGTGAGGGACGCGGTAGCTGACCACGCGGGTCTTGTTCCGGGGCGCGGAGGGCTGAAGGGTCTTGGACATCTCCAGCCCCCTGTCCGCCAGGGGGTCCTGCCCCTTGTTCAGCAGCTCCTCGACCCCGGGAGGCAGCTCCTTCTCCCACAGGACCTCGTCCTGGGTCAGCATGTAGGTGCTGCCGATCACAGCGCGGACCTGGGGACGACAGGAGGGACGCTGCCAGGGAAGGTAAAGGGGGAGAGACCCGCCCCAGGCCTGAGGCAGAACTGGTCTGGGGGTAGTGGGGCTGGTGGTGACACAGTCTCTGGGATGAGCCGCTGGGTGGGCCCGACAGTGGCTACCTCACGGGGCTGAGGAATGAATGATATCGCACATGCCTAGTGCTGTGAGCGTGGGGTACAGTAAGTGCGTGATATTATTCCCCTGGAATTTTCCTTCCTGGGGCAGCTTGGACAGTGTCCTAGGGACAGATGCAGCCCTAGGAAACAGGGAATGTCCACTAACACTGCCTGGATTCTGAGCTCGACTGCTAGGCTGGACTCTCAAGAGGTTGGAGATGTGGTCCTAGGTCAAACCAAGGTCAAGGTTTCAGGTGAGGGGGTGAAGAGGAAGGATTCCATGAGGGTAAGGGC